TGACTTTTATTTGTTCACTGCTGGAGTGATAGGAAAAGATAAACTAATATGTAACACTGATCCTCTCACACAGTGTCAGTTGTAACACGATCTCTGGTCAAGGCATCCATGTGACACCCTATCCTAACCCCTCTGGGCTGACATCATCCACAAGACCAGCCGTTGGTCCTGTATGGTCCAGTATTACAGGTGAAACTTAAGTCTCTGGTTTCAAATGTCAATTCAATTCCACTCACAGCCACATTGTGATTTTTGATCCTGGCAAGTAGAATTCCAAAAGCTCCCCGATGGTCTACCTGCAAGCTTGTTGGGTGAGAATCAGGTTAACAGCAAATAAATATGGCCAAGTCGATCCAATTTTGGAGAGATAAAAGTTTTATGTGTGTGTTTTTATATATATATATATATATATATATATATATAAACGTCAACAATACATATAATAATACAATTCTCATGCCAAAAAGTTGAATGTCTCTTGTATATGAATGATGATCAACAAAACAAAAGGAAATACTTCATGTAATTTTGTTAAAGGAGAGAGGTGGCTTCGTTTTAACCCTTTTTGATCTGTTCTTAGCGCAACTACTACTACAACCGTCAATGAACGCATCCTCAGTAGTAGTAGTAGTAGTAGTAGTATTATTAGTGGTAGCAGGAGCAGTGGTACATATATCAACAGCACATGTTAGCGGGCACTTTTTTCCAATCTCTAATGTCACTTCCTTACTGTCTCTAACCCAACTCTGCTCTGCCCTTCTTCCGGTTGGCTTTCCTCTTTATATAGAGAACTGGTGACGTATTTGTTTTTTCTAGAGTGAATGTACTGACACACTTTTATTAGGAACAGGATCAACCCATTTCCCGACACACTTCTAAATTAAAACTTCACACTCGCTTCATCTTTCAGTACCCTGACTGTATTGCCATTGTTCTAAGTTTATCTATTAATAGCTCTGAGCAATTTTGGTAAACTTTACATAGATTTATGCTGTCTTGTTATTGATAAAATTAACCTTTAGATCAAGACATTCTTAATTCTATTTTCTATTAATAATCTGATATCTTTTGTACTCTTAAAAAAAAAAAGATTGTATTTCATTTTCTAAATAAAATCTGTAACATTAATATTTCAAAGTTTTTACAGCATATCAACATCTTGGTTATTCGAAATTCCGGGTGATATTGCCCCCTGCCACAAATACATGCCACAACATTCTTACATGTAGCTGGACCACAAGCTCAACAAGTTTTCAGCTCGGACGTTAAAAATAAAATAGACTGTGTAAAAAAAAAAGTTCTAAGTATACTGCCAGCCAAGACAAAATATAATGTATGTCAGATACTTAGTAAAAGACATGATTGCAAGTGGAATCCAAAACAATGATACACAGAAGTTACTACTTTGGGACCCTGATTTAATACTAAAAACACCATTTGACAAATGCTGAGCAATTGAAATTAGCACAACCCAAATAAAAAAACATAAACAGAACTGTCAATATTGGCAGTAACATGGATCAAGGGACTGAGAAACCAAAAAAGGAGGACATTTAAAAACCCACTGTCCCAATATCTGGACACCAGTCCAGAATCTTACATTTTGTGTGGTAAATCAATCTATATGTAAAATTCTGTGACTTCCATTAGTCTGTCTGTCTGTCCGTCACACCCACTAAAATAACCATACATTGATCAATTGAAAGTAAATTTTAGGGAGAAATGCAAACAGGTAAGTGGGATACAAAGTACAGTTGGTTTTAGTAGGGTTTTTGTTAAAGTATATTTCCAAACAAATCAGCTTATTCAAATTTCATTGATTGGGTTGCAAAATTGAACGAAATGTAGAATTTGTATCTCAACAAAAATGTTAGCGATAACTTCAACAATACTAAATACTGTGAGGATTTAAACATTCTAATGAAGAAAAATGCACCCACTGAAACAATGCCTTGCTTCTGGAAGAATATGTGGAAAATGCCACTGACCCAACTATTTTGCTAGCATGTGCCAATTCTAAACCACAATGAAATAAGCACTAACAAAAGTGATGACTCCTTCTTACCAATACTTATTTCTTGATGACATCATGTTAGAAACAAGTGTGGTGACATTTGGCTGAAAATGAGATCAAGGTAAATGACACTCCACCTATTAAATTCAGGCTGGGCACTGTATCTCAGGTCAACATAATGGTCCAAATATTCTGCATACATTTTACATCAATCTATTACAGATGACCAACGTCCAACTAAAGAGTTACAGTCAACACATCATCCAATCCAAAGGACAGATAAATCTGAAATGCTCTATCAACAAAGTAAGTCACCTGACATTTCAAGTCATTAACCTGAAGGTCTCAACTATCCTGTGTAAAGATGTATGTGTAGATTTAGGATTGCTGAAAGTTATGTGAAAGCCTTGGGAAGCTACTGGGTCAGTATTCAATCAATCTAAAACCAGAGAAACTAAGACAATTTCAATGCTATACTGTCAACTTTGTAATGTTGTATTGAATGGCTGACCAGATAAAAGAAAGGACTACCTACCATCTCTAAGACAATACTGGAGATCTAAAACAATACTGGAGATTCCAAAATGAAATTGCATATCTCAATCAGTTACTTTCTAAAAGTGACCAAGTGATTGTTCCAGAATAACTCAGGAGAGAAACAGTGAATAAGATTCCCACATCCCATCAAGGAATGATTAAAAGCAAGCTGAGAACCAGAGATATACTATTCTGGCCTGGTATGAATTCTCAAATTGACGAGGCAGTTTAGAAGTGTTCTAAATATAGAACAGGCAACACCAAAGAACCCTTGCTGCCACATGAGATACCAGGACCCCTTAGTCAAAGATTTGTGTCAAACTGTTTACAGTAGAGTGAAATAAATATATACTCATTGTAAACCATTATTCAAAATATATACAGATGTGACACAACTGAGAGAGCAAACCAGTTTTGCTATAATAAATTAAAATCATTTTTCATCATGGAATCCCTGACATCCTGGGATGCACAGATGACATTTTGAATTTTTATGCCTCAGGAATGCAGAGCTTACATTTTCCATGATGTGGAAAGATTATATCAATTGCTAGATCTGCTGCTAGGAAAGTTGGTTCACTGTATCTTGCTAGACAATTTTTCTCGTCAGAATATCTCTTACATATTTGTAAGTTTACCATTCATCCAGCCATTGAATATTGCTGCCACATCTGGTCAGGTGCTTCTGCTATGTATTTAGAGATTCTGGATAAAATCCAAAGAAAAATCTGCCATGTTATTTGTCCTGACCTGGCATCTCAACTTTGGTCACTTACTTGTCACCGTAACATAGGTTCCCCTGTGTTTTTTTTCTATAAATATTTTCATGGTAATTGTTTTGATGAGCTTTCCTCTTTGATACTTAGGCTTTATGAATTTAAAAGCAGAATTCTAGTGGCATGGTCTCCCTATTTTACAGTTTAAATGGCTAGATGTAACTAAGTTCTATGCTAACAGTTTCTTCTCTTGCATTTCTCCCTTGTGGAACTTTCTTCCAGCTTCTTGCTTTCCAGTCAAGTTTGATCTTCCAAAAATTAAATGCAATATCAATAGTTATCTTCTGTCTTCTTAATTCTTCTTTTATTGTTTTTTGCTCTTTAATAATGATTTTTTCTCATTCTTTCACACTCTGTAACCCCTTGTCTTAGTGGCTTTATTACCTTGGTTGTGGTGAAATGGTTAAAGAAAAAAAATAAGACAGCAATCACTTTTCAATGGATAAACACAATGTATTTTAGAGGTTAAAATTCAAAGAATTTAGGCAATTTTTTAACATTTTTTAATAATGATGTTTTAACAGATATATTAGAAATGTATTTTGGAAGCTTAAACACAAACTATTTGGATGTTTCTTTAGACAGTAAGGAGCCATCATTTTCTAACGGATATACAAAAAATACATGATACGGATGTGCAATGGGTGAGGTCATGCTAAAATTGGGTAGATACCTAGGAGAGCATTCCATCTAAGAGAAGAAAAACTCTAATTTCAAACCTTTGCTACTTTTTGGCTATACCCAATTGTGGGAAATGCTTTAGGACTAAACTGGAGCTGGAGTACAAAAGACAGTCCAATATTCATCCAACTTTGTTGTGACAGCTCATGTGATAACACTGATACCAAGCAGTATCAACCCTTGCTTTTCTTACCTTGGACAGCATTAGTGATGTAGGGAGGAGAAATCTGCTGTATGGTCATCTGTCAGTCTCCTATAAAACATAAATAAAGTCCTGCTCACTCCATTGTCACCTCATTTGTGCTCAACTGGTAAAACATGCTGTGAAGCACCAACTGAATTAAAAAAAAAAAAAAAAAAATTTAAATTTCACCATGTGCAGATCCAAAGTTTTTTTTTCATTCTTTGATTTCATTGTCATTGGTTATGCTCAGACATTTTAGTTTTCATAATGTTCATTTACTTCTTTGAATCAGTCTAAATATGATTTCAGTATTTTTGTTTTTTACATTAAGTTATCCTGATTTCATAATCTTAAAGCCACGACTTTCCAATGTTGGCAACTCATCCTATTTTCTGATTTAAAAACTGTCACTATCATTTGTAGATGTTTCAATAACCATTGCAAGAATTAAATAAAAATTTGATAGAATTGATAGATCACCATATAAATCGAAATATCAAATGCCTTTTCAATTTTCATAATTAAGAGGTGCTAATCCACTGGTTGCTAGAATTATAGTGATTTGTCTGTGAACTTGATAACTGTTACTAAATTGTAAAATCCAAAATGTTTTCAGTTATACTTAAATTTTAATTTGTTTTTGTTTTTAAATTCATGTAAATTTTTCTTTTCTTTCAGTCATATATTTGATCCCTCGTAATGCTCATATTTGCTTGTGACAGCCATGCTTGGATCTGATCAAAATAGTAAACTAAATGAGAACTACTGCAGCAATCAACAGCACCAACATCCTCCAACAAGATTGTCTATGGTGGCTCTCCAGCAGAGCACCCTAGAGAATCCAAACAGCACCCCACTTGAAATCGACTCATTGACCAAAGGCCCAACACTGCCTGAACAATCACTCATTAAGTCCTTCAATGAACTCTCTTGTCACTGTTCAGCCTGCTGCCACTGTCACCATGGTAACATACCCTCTAAAGCTTGTACCTACCACCAGCAATCTCCAAATCTATGGCGGGGACATGCAGATACTGCTGCTCATCACCAAGAACAGAATGAAGGGGGCTATGTAGATACGGAGCAGCACAGTAGTGATGGTGGAAATGGTAGCAGTGTTCTTGAAAATTGCCCTCTTGATTTGGGCAAGGATCAGCCTGTAGTTGATGACCAGGACAAAGTTGTGGCACCTTTACCTAGTAGTAGCAGCAACAACAGCATTATCAAGACTACTGAGGATGGTCCGAGTGCAGCTCAGTCTCAGAAGCCTCATCTTCCACTCTGTATCTACGCTCGGGGCAAGCTGAACAACTGTGTAATTAAGGAGAAGATTAACAGTGATGTTAAACCTTTTTCTAAGCATGGTGTTAGTCCAAGAAAGTTTCGAAAATGCTCAGAGGTAATCCTTCAGTTTTGATTTATGTTTGTTTGTTTTTTGGTTTTGTTTCTTGGTTTTGTTTTTTTTTTATGTAGCCTTAAAACTAGATGAAAAGCAGCAGAGTTGATGATTAAATCAAACCAAATTTTGTCAAGAGTCACATTGATGGGATACTCAACTCTTTAATGGCTTGCAAGGCACACGTACAATGACTTACAAGGCACATAATTAATGGCTTGCAAGATAAATATACTAAACATTATTCTACAATAAAGTTATGCATTATGTGATAAGAATATATGAACTGTAGTTTCATCTTAGGGAGACAAAGTTTTGCAACATTTTCATAAATTATCTCTGCTATTCATGGTTTATTTCTCTCCAGATATATTTTTGTGTTGTGTGTCTTGTCTCATCTGTCTATCTACATATAAAATTCTGTGACTTCATTAATCTATCTGTCCATCATGCTCTCTAAAATAGCCATACATTGACTGATTTTCATTTATTTTTCCAAAAAAATTAATGAAAATTTAAAAAAAACAAAAAAAACAATTGGTTTGCGAAATTGAATGAAATATAGTTTGTAAATCTAGTCCCTAAAAATTTAAGTGGATGATGTCATTGAAGTTTTGTGGCTCAGCTGTGAATGATGGAAGTTTTTGCTGCATTTAATAGGTTTACAATGCTCACTACATTTTATATAGTACCATTACATCAAATTCATTTATAATGTAGTACCTGCATAAAGGCAAATCTATGGTTGTATACTTGGCAGAACTGTAAGAATTAGAGGGATGCCTGAATGTGGTTTGGTGTACATGTTTGTAGAAAGACTGTTGGGTTCAACATAGCAACATCATCTATTACAATGGTTCTAGAGAGTACAAGTGGTTCTTTTGGCCAATGTGCTAGAGAACAAGGAACACACATATGAAGTCTGATTAAAACGTATCTGGATTGGTGCTATAAAAAGAAACTACGACACATATCAATTCAGCATTTAATCTCCTTCAAAGGAGATTTCACTTGCAATCATGTCTTCTGAAGCCACACAATTTCTAGTGTCATTTCCATTGATGGAAGCATTCCTGGAACTCTTTCATTGGGATAGCGAGCATTTGCATTCTCTTGGATTTCCTTGACATCTTGAAATCTTGTTCCTTTCAAGTATGATTTGATTTTTGGAAAAAGATAAGTTGCAAGGAGTGAGATCTGGAGAATATGGTGGTTGTTGGACCTGGGAAATGCTGTGTTTGGCCAAAAACTGCTGCACAAGATGCACTGAATGATCAGGTGCATTGTCATGGTGGAGTTACCACTCACTGGATGCATGCAATTCTGTCTTTTTCTGAAAAACAGCATCCCATAAATATTGCAAAATATCACAGTAGTACTTGTTTACTGTTTGACCAGGTGGAGCATATTCATGATAAACTATGCACTTTTAATCAAAGAAACCTGTCAACAGTATCTTCACATTGCTTTCTTTGTTCTCTGAGAGATTTGGGGGGAGGTCTTCCACTGTGAAGACTGAGTCTTGGTTTTAAGTTCATAGTCATAAAGCCATGATTCCTCTCTTGTTATGACCATTTTAAAAAATTTTTGTCTTCCTCAACACTATTCTGTACAGCTGAAACTCAATTCTCTTCTTGGTCAACTGAAAGCAGTTTTGGCACAAACTTGGTAGACATCCATCTCATACCCAAATCTTCAGTGAGAATGGACTGAACTGAACCGTAACTCATTTTCCAACAACTCAGGTAGGGTGATTCAATGGTCTTTCCGAACAGCAGCATGCACATTTGTGATGTTTTCATCAGTTCTGCTGGTTGCAAGTCTCCCAGAACATACCTCACTGTTAACATTTTGTTGGTCGTCTTGGAAATGTTTGAACTGCTCATACCCTTCCTGCAACATTGCATAGTTCTCTGCACAGATATCACCAATCTTTTTGGAAAATTTGATGTAGATTCTCTGCTTAATTTTTTCTGCTATGGTCACTGATGGAACATAGTGGTATGGCAAGATGACAACTATCTTCACATTTTCTTACCATGCAATACAATACTATAAACAATGAAAATGTGTGAGAACGTTATAACTTATTGTGCATGTGTAACAGAGTTCAAGGTCAGTCTGTACCAAGTGGCTTTCCTCTATGTGCTTTAGCTCCATTATCTTAGCAACAGTCCTTATACTTTTTGATTAAACCTTGTATGCTGCTACTAATAAAACAGAGCTGGTCATGTGTCTTGAAATTGCTCAGAAAAAGAGGCAGAGAGTAATACATATATGCCAGTCTTTTCTCCAGGTAAAATGTGAATGTGAAGCTACCTGTCATCAAAGTTCATATAAAGAAAACAATACTCTGCCTTATTATGTTTAAACATTTAAACAACTTCAAGCATTTACTGATTCTATTCTTGTGTAAGTTCATCTTGTCATACCATTGGGTGTTTCAACTTAGCCAGCTGGTGTTCTTGAATATATTGACATATTCATCACTGACACACAAAAACTTGGCCCAAATAATGGATGGGTCCTGAATAGCTTTTATCAGCTTTCCCCAAAATCATTTTCCTTTTCCCATTGAATTATATCAGGGCAACATTTAATAAAAATAACATTTTGAATTTTATTTTTATAGACATACTTTATTCCTTGTTCATGGCAGCTTTTTCCAAATTTTTGCAGTTTAATTTAGATAATTGAACACATAGTCCTCGTCATAAGTGCAAATTTTAGAATCCATTCAGGTTGACAAATGTATGGATTTTGGTTTATTTTATTTCTCAAAGTTGAGTTTTTATCTCATTCCATTGTTCCGTGAGACCAATTGATTTGTCATTAAATTTGTCATTGAATAAATAATCCATGAAGCCATTTTTATTTTAAAAATTACTGCCTTTATCCAATACAATTTTAATGTACTTGTTAATTTCATTATAGAATTATTTTCTAATTTTAGGAAATGGGTAAATGGTTTTCTGAATTTAATGATGAACAAAGAAATATCTTTTTGAAAGATTTATTGGTAAGTAATCTTTCTGTTTATTATATGCTTTTTGCTTCTTTTTTTTATGAAAATTTATGCTGGAACAAATACATTTGCTATTTTCTTAAATATTTTTTCTGAATATTTACTCTTTTTTTTTTCTTTTTTTTCATTCAGATAACCACAATTGCCTTGTTTTTGTCTACATTATTGCATGCTTATATCATAATGGAATTCATTCTTACATTCCAATAAATAAATAAATAAATTTAGAACCATTTTGCAATGAATGAACTTGGCTGTCATGTACCTGGTGTTATTTTATCTTTTTATTTGCCAATAGCAAGGTTGTGAACTGCCTCAGATGCATTTGCTATCTGTGAAGATGGAAGCAAACTTACATCGAGGATGTCCTCCAAACTGCCAAGATATCCTCACCTGGTTACCCACAGATTTGGCAACCAAAATCATGTCTTTCTTAGATCCTGGTAAGAACACTCAATTGTGTATATCATGAATTTTACAATAAGGATTTTTTTTATCCTTTGAGAAAATTCTTTTATATTCTGTAGCCTAGTACTTAGCATGAATTTCTATTTTGCCAGTCACCAGTGCTTTGTCTCATTCAAGTTTATTGTTTATTCATATTTATACATTCATTTAGCTGTATTTTTCAAATATTTCTGTTTTGATTACTGAGTTTTTTGAATGATTGTTATGGAAAACAAAATAAATTATAGAAACAGACATAGTAATTAAATTGATTTTGGAAATTTCATACATCAGCAGCAGTCAGTTTTACAAAAGATCATTCGTGATTTAGAAAAATAGTCAAATTTAAGATATAAAATGTCTATACTTTTCAATAAAACATTTAAATCGAGATAAGTGAATGTGGTTTTCTCATTCTGTTAAAAAACCCAATTTAGTCTATTAAGACTGCAAATAGTCAACCCAAGATAACAGCTACATTGTTTGACTAGTTGCTAGTTATTTTTTGATTGCATATCCTATTCTAAAATCTTTGCATTCCCTGTTCTCTTGTTATTTCATAAACTTTCTAGATTTTATCTTTTGAAACTAAAAATTACAACAAAACAAGAAGAGACCAGAGCACAAAAGTTGAACATAGGTTTATGCAAGATTATTATTTAAAATTTTATCATTAATAAAGTATTTGCTGATTTTTTATTTTTTATATATATTTTTTTTTTTTTAATGGTGGGAGGGGTCTTATTTTTTTTTTTTTTAATATAAAATAGCATTTTCATAATTTATTTTAATTAAATCCCTAAAATCATGTTTTTTTTTTTTTTTTTTTTTGCCTCTGCAGTCAGTTTGTGCCAAGCTTCTCAAGTATGTAAAATTTGGCGTCAAGTTAGTGATGATCCTTGTTTTTGGCGACGTTTCTGCTGTCAACCAAAATGGCGTTTGTCTAAAGCAGCAGAACACAAGCAAGTCATCTATCACATGTCTCCAGAAGGTTCTATACAGGTAAAATCAAATTGCAATTTCTAAAAATTAAATTTAAGGGTAGTCTAGTAAATTAGAAAAATGACTAATACTTAAGAAAATTTCATGGCTACATTCTACTGGAATTCTGTCTTACTCAGTTCAGCTTGCTTACATGTGTAATGAGATAAAAACAATGTTTATTAATTTTATAAAATTTAAAAGAAAAATAAATCTAGTTTCAAGCCTAGAGAAAGAATGAGAAGAGACCAAACATGGAATATTCTCTAAATTGTAATGCTCACTTATAAGACAGTGGAGATTCTATTGTAACTTTTTTCAATGTAAAAATAGATATTCTTTGAGAATTTTTATTCACTTTTATAGTGAATAATATTATTGTTTACATTTTGTCTTTTCTTCAACTTCTCTACATTTTGCAATTCCATTGGAGTAGTTAAATACTAGCGAGTGGATATAGTAGCTTTATTTTCATTGAATATCAGATTTCATTCTTATTAGCTGTGTTGATATTATGGTAAGTTCTGCCAACAAAATTTTTTTTTTTTTTTTTTTTTTTTTTTTTTGAATTATTAGACACATCACAGCACTTTGTGATACCCCTTGGAGTGAAAATTTTAACCCAGCTATTCAGAATTGTGCCACTGAGGGTTCTTCTTGTTATTGTAAACCAGCTTTTGTGTCTTCTTGGAAATACCAGATACAATCATAATCTTTTCCTTGGTTCACATTTGCCTGTTTAGCTGCTGTAGCTCACAGGATTCACTTTTTCTGACTTTACGAATATGATAGCCTCTTTGTGTCTGCTTGTAATAATTGTAAATGTGTTTAATGAGGCTAAGTCTTTATTTGCTGATAGAATAAGACACCATATAGTCTCCAGTGATTTTTGTTCTCCTGAGTACGGACAACTCTGTAAAATAACCTTCAATCTGTTGTTTGCTAGGGCAAGAAATGGCTTCTTTATTTTATTGCCCCCAAAACAAAACTGCTCTCTTTTAATTGTCTTAGAAAAACTTGATACTAACATCCAGTAGAATGACTCCTTGTGCCCTCAAGGTCTAATGTTTTCCATGGACATAAAGTGGAGAGATTATATTGAACCAATTTCTAGGTCTGCTGCTAGGAAAGTTGTTTCACTGTGCCATGCTAGACAGTTTTTCTCTCCAGAATCTGTCTTGCACATTTATAAGTCTACTATTCATCCATACTGTTATACATGACGTACCTATTCTATTATTAATAGACTCTCCCTCACATAATAAGTAGTAGTAGTAGCGGTCGCCAGTTGGGCTGAGTGGTGTTGAGCGAGTCAGTCGATATCGGACATTGAAGTACCAACCATCACAACTAGATTGCTGCGTCATTAACTCTTATTTTCAAGTTCCTAACGTTTTGTACGTCGAACCTAATTTAGGATGACTTATTGAAATACAAGCCTCCACTGTGAAAACTACTCTACAACACATGCATTGAATATTGCTGACACATTTGGTCTGGTGCTTTTGCTATGTATTTATCGGCTTCATCACTTTCCCACTGACATAACTTTGCTTTCCTCTGCCTTTTCTAGAAATATTTTCATGGTAATTGTTCTAATGAGCTTTCCTTTGCTATATAAAACTTATTTGCATGTATCTCAATAAGCTACACATTATTTTACAGGAAAATTCTACCATTTAAATTTGTCAAATTTAAGGCTAAATATTAATCTAAAAGTGATTAAAACCTCTAGCTGGAATTCTTTCTAGTGAATATATAGAGCAAAATCTCTTATAAAAATTTGATAATGTTGTTAAAACAGTTGTAAAACTCTGGAAAACTTGGTTTAATAAATTTTTTTTTTTTTTTATTTTTTTTTTTTTTTTTTACATTTACAGTGGAAGAAAGTATTTGCTGAGAGATTTCGATTACGCAATAACTGGTTGAAGGGTCGCTGCACTGTGCGGACATTTGAAGGGCATACACAGGGTAAGAACCTCTCCTATTTTGCTTTATAAAACTTTCTTAAAAAGGAAGTTTTTTTTATGTTTGCCTATTTTAATGTTAAAATTAATAATTTCATATATTCATGTTGATGTACAAGTTACCTCTCCAGTATTGGAAATGTGGAATTGGGATTTAAAATAAAAATAGGATCTCTATATTGTGTGACGAATGCAAGCCCACACATATACATTATTCTCCGCTCCCACAACAAAACCAAAAGTAGACCCACATAGAAATACGCGTGGGCGAAGTCTAAAAATAGATTCAGACCCAGTAAGATAGTACATAAAAGAAACAACGCGATTGGTCAAAAGCAGCCAATCAGCAATCGAGAAAATTAGGCGCCAAAAAGGAGACGCCCACGTGAAGAGAAAATAGAAAGCAGCTTTATCGGAGAGACCAGCGGACGAAAAGTCACGCCAATGTCCATGTCCCAGGTTGCATGCTGAAACAACACATTCCCAGAGGCAGAGAAGCAGACCAGCCACTAAAATGCCAAGAATGTGAAGATAGTCCAGACGCAATTGGCCTGAACCCCTCGAAAATCATCACCTTAAGAAGAAATCCTGAAATACAAATATAAAGCAGAGAATGTGATCCCAGTTGAGAACCGAAAGCTCCAGTCGCTGAATCAAGAATACAAGAAAAGAGACTATTATCGCCTTTGATCGATAAATGCATGTCTCAGATAAGTGTATATCCTAGAAACCCCAGTATTACTATGATTCGCAAACACCCAATAATATGTTCTCGCACACACCTTTCCATATTTGTAATACCAGACAATTGAGACTATACCCCTGTATATGTGTGAAACTTTGCATTCATTAATATTTGTCATATTCTAACTAAATATGTGTTGTAGCTAACATTATATAATGTCTTTATTGTCGTTGCCATATACATGCTCTTGTTAATTAAATATTATATTGTTCACCATGTCACTTCGTTCGTTTATGGTCACCGGGCGGCTGAATGTGTTATTCCAAGAACCCGGGAAAGCCTAGTTCAATTAGACAATAACTGAGTTGGACTTCAACTACTTTCTTTTTATATTATCTGCTGATGATCTAATGATGTAAGGGAAATAACCCTAATTCAGTGATCCCATAACGGAAGGTTATTCGGGGAATATAAGACATAAACGAATCATCGTGCAGAATACATGGATCTTAGCCTGGTGCTGGTTGTATCCCCCATCACCATATTAGTGCCAGACGAAGATCTATGAAAATTGTGATGGAAAGTTCGGCACCAAATAAAATCACTTGGGCTTAATTGCTGAATTCTACATCACTGCAAGCTTTGTTAACCTTTAACACTCTGCCGTATTCACTACTTTTCTTTCCACTGCATTGTTTTTTAAGGCTCATCTACTGCACTACTTAATTTCAGTCATGGTTATTTTCTGTTGCCATTGCAGGATATGACAACACAACTGCAAAATTCAAACCTGCTATCATTCATTCTTCAGAATCACTTCCAGTGGCAGGATAAAATTTTTACTTTGTAAACAAAATCACCTCCAGAATGTTAAGGGTTAAAAAGGCTTGCATATAAAATGGTGAATATTCCAGGAACACTTTTTTGCTATGAGAAATGTTCAAGAATAATTTTTTTCAGAATTTTTTTTTATATTGAAATGTGGATATTTTTGTTTGGTGTTTTTTTTTTTTGTTAATAACGTTACCTACCCCATTTCATTAATGAGAAAAATTGTATTAGTCATTGTTATTGTTTTACTAAGTTTTACCTTAAAGACTTAGTGCCGAGAAAATATTTTTTTGTTAAATAAATTAATGTGAAATAATAAGCTTTGACTATAACTGTAACATTAAAAATGTGTTTTTATTTTTTCTTTGACATCTGCAAATTTTTTGTCATGTGAACTGTCAGTTGCTAAACAATGATGCATTTAGTTTATTGTAATAATCAAATATATGATTCATCATGGGGGGAACAGTTAAAGAATACTTAAGTGATTACTGTATAAATACAGCACTTAAAGGATGCTATCAGAAACTGTTTCAGATGCAAAATTCAAGATTAATTAAATGTGAATAGTTTAATCTTTCAAATATTTTTACAAAACACATCTACATTTATTTACAATAACAAATGCTCTTCAATCACATACAACTGACTTTTTGATTTTTCAATTGAAGCAAATATGCACTTGATTATACAAAATATTCTTTTTTTTTTTCTTCAGGTATTTCTTGTATACAATTTGATGATACACGGATTGTCAGTGGTTCATCTGACAAGACAATCAGGGTTTGTACAATTTTCATTCATTTTTTTCCATTGGGAACATGAAGAAAATGTTTAAAATGTATACATAGGAGAAATGGGCTTGTTAGCAATAAAATCATTTCTTGCTAATTTAAATATTAATTTTTTTACGTAATACAAAAAGAATTTTTTTGGCAGTCTGGAAAAATTTTGCTGCAAGCTTTCAGGTAGTTGTAGACTTTAAAAAGTTGTAATTGAAATTCTGATTTTTATTTGAGTTTGAACATCAAATCATTTGAATTGGCAATAAATTCTCAGCTATCTCAGAGCCCCCACCTGGTCATATAACTAGCATGAAATGATCCTTCGTATTAAATCATCTATACTGATGTATGATAGAAAATAATGTTCTTTACTCAATTTTAAAATCTACATTCTCTGCAAGTATAATAAATGAAAAAAAATACTTGTCCAAAATCTGTTATTCTAATCACTAAACATGATTTTACTATTATAGTGAGTGAAATGACTCTAGTTTTAATTTTGTTTTGAATCTAAATACTAACATAGGAATTTAGAATTACATTCACATTCCAGATTCACTAAGAGTTCTGTAAACAAATGTGCATGTATGTTTGGAGGTTCATTATTTTGACTGTCTTTGATAGTTACCATCTATTGTATTTTCTCTCAGATCTTATTGTAAACTTGGTTTCATTCTATGAGAATGAATGCAAAACACTTGCCCCACCAAATTTATAGGCAGAAGTACACAAATGCATGCTGGGATTTTTTTCTTAGCCCATAAAATAGGCCACTTTGCAGGTTCATGGGACTCAGTCCCAATTTACCTTGTCTTCAATTCAGAATGCTACGTTTGCTTGTCTGAACTTGCTTTTGTGTCGACACCAATTCTTAGTTTGTGAACTTTTTGCCTTATTATTGTTAATTTGCTTTGCATATATTGTTTGCTTGTTTAATATTATTTTTTTGCCCAGTTCTTTTTTTTTTTTTTTATAGTAAACTTTGTCAGTTCTCTTTGTTGGACAGTTCTGTTATTTATTTTGCATTTGACCATGGCTTCTCACTCCACAAAAACTAAGCAAAATCCTCTCTGCCACAGTTAATTGTGACTGGCCAATTTGCTTCTATTATATCATTTGAATTTTCTTTTAAGGGACTGGAATTTTGTTTCTACCAACCCGTGAAAATTCTCCATTTTGCTGATATGTCCATAAATTATAGGTTTTTAAATAAACCACAAATATTCTATTGGTTAATAGGCACCATGACTTGCATTTACAGAATGCTGATGCATAATACATTTTACTGTTCTTTTTATCTGGATAATATCTGTGAAAAATAAGTTGCTTGAAGTGTATTACATTGACATATATAAGCTTTAATTTTTTTTATCATATGACTTAAATTTCATTTTAGTATGAGAATGAAATACAAATGAAGCAGTTACATAAAAATTATTTGATCTTCTATAATATTTGTCTTTCTTAATTTACAACTAATAGTTAGGCTTTTACTGTGGGGTGAGTAGCCATGGTCAAATACAAAATAAGTAATAGAACCATTCAACAAACAGAATTGACAAAGTTTGCAAGAAAAAGAACAGTGCAAAAAATAGTATAAAGCAAGCAAACAATATATGCAAAGCAAATTAACAATAATAAGGTAAAGAAATAGTAATATGACAAAAAGTTCACAAACTAAGAATTAGGGTTGACACACTAAGAGCAAGTTTAGAAAAGTGAATGTAGCATTCTGACTTCCTGACGGACAGGAACTGAGTTAGATGAAACCAAGAACTGGCCTATTTTATTGGCTAGAAAAAATCCCAGCATGTATTTGTGTGCTTCTGCCTATAAATTAGTGAGGGGTAAATGCTTTGCAGGTATTCTTTAGGGATTGAAACCAACAAAGCAGTTACATAAAAATGATTTTATCTTCTATAAGATTTCCCTCCCTTAATTTACAATAATGTTAGGGTTTTACTTTTGGTGCCAAAATACTTGGTGACTTCATTTTCATTATTTTGTTCTGTGTTTGTTTCTTCAAGGTTTGGAATATTCGTACAAATGCTCCATGGTCAGTCCAGACACTAGTCGGTCACAGTGGAACTGTAAGATGTCTACACTTAGAAGGAAACAGGTTGGTGAGTGGCTCTTCAGATAAAACAATAAAGGTAAGTAAATTCTATTTAGGTTATGAATAAATTTTAGCAATTTTAAGTGAATAGAAGTTAACTTTAATGCATATTCACTTAACATTTCACAATGTCATGAATTGCATTACTACTGTAGCAAATGTGATACTCTCCGACTAGTCATGATTTATGAGATTAACTTACTCATCACTACTTCATAGCAATATGCTTAAAGGAGTTTTTATTTAATAGGTTTAACTCAATTTAGTATAAGGCTACTCTATTGAATTAACCCTAAGCACCAGCACAGATTTCCTAGAGCAGGTTACAAAATAATTTCATAAATAATCTTATAAATTGTTGTAACCTAGAGAAGGTTACTGAATAGAATAATCACACAAAGGTTGGTAATGAACAATAATACTTAAGACAAGAATAACACATATAAGATTCACCAGTGGCACATAGAAGTAGTAGTCAATTGCTAGAAGTGAGTCAAGTGAATTCCATAATGAATCTCCAACTGCAAACCAACATACAGTATTTACTACTGTATTTATGTCAATGGGGACATACGCATTATCGTCCGTAGGTATGCTACAACATAAATATAAGACAAAAGTTTTATGAAGTTATAAATATGTATTTATATATCAGGATATATTTGTTTTAATCAATTTTTATGTCTGAAAAAGTATTAGCTCAACAAGATTTGGAAGGAAGCCTGCTTTCTTCATTCTTTCTCAAAGTAAAACTGTTTTGATTTTGACCAGTTCCAAAATTTCACTTTTAAAGGTAAAACATATACCAAAAAGGTAAAGTTTCTTTGTAATACTCTGAAAAATAGATTGATGTTTTTATTAGCTTGCCTCTTTCATTTCTAATGGAATAAGAATAACAAATATTGCCATGAATTATAAAAAGGAACAGAAATTTGCAGTGCATAATTGACAACTTGTAAACATTTTGGTATTGTGAAACAATATACTTGTTTCAGAGCTATAATAATAATGATTGGGGAAAAACAACTTTTATTTATTTTTAAATAATTTTTTTCTCCCTCTCTCTTTTCATAGGTTTGGGATTTATCAACTCAGGATAGGTGGTCAAGTATAGCTTGTAAGGTGACCATGGTAGGTCACTTAGACACCGTTCGATGTCTACAGGTAAGTGTAAAAAATCATGATTGATTTTGACAATCTAATAAGAAAACTGTCATTTCTGTTTTACTCAAAATACCCATATATCTGTAACATTACTTATATCCACTTAAATTAACTGAGGTCATTATCAGTGCAAATCAAGTCATTATCTATAACAGACCTAGCAGTCAAGCAACTGAGGGCAGATATATGGAAATCTAAATTACTACTAAATAACAATTTCTGAGAACATTCTTAGCAAGAAACTTGTTATTAATATCTATACCTTTTCACCTTCAAAATGGAATTATTTTCAAGTAAAAAAATTAATCAACTTCAAATTGAGAAAATATCAAAAACTTAAAAACAATCAACGTCAAAATAAGAATAAACAACTTCAAATTGAGATTTTTTTTTTTTTTTGGTAAATTAAAAATTATTTTTTCAATTAATTTACCCCATGAGTAAGGAAATTGACTGTTTGTCTTCTTTATATAGATGAAGAAAAAAACAAAATACAAACAACTTAAAAGGCCAAGAAAGCATTGGGTGAGCCTACAGTAAAATAAGAGGAGAAAGTCCTATATGGGCAAAAATGATGATGATGCTGGAGAAACCTCTACAAAAGAAGCTGGAGAAGAATTAGCAACAGCTCCAAAGAGGACTTACCTCAAGAAGACTGTGGCTGGTGAAAAAAAGGCGCAGATTTTAACTGCACATGCCGCAGCAGGAAATTGGAAAGACCTGGCAAGAACAATTAGTGTGCCTCTGCCAACAGCATACCATTGGTTAGACCAGAGTGCTGATAATAGTGACTCTAGGGGAGGAGCAAGAAAATATAAAATTACACAAGAGCATAAGAATTTTATGGCCGAATTAATTGAAAACTCTCCTAAGGTCACTCTTCAAGACATTGTAAATAAGTTGGTCGAAAAGTATGAGGTTCGTGTGACGAAAGAATGCATAAGAAAGCACTTGGACTCCATGGTCTTTACTTTAAAAGCGGTTCATTATGAACCAGAAGCTGTCAATAATAATATCAATAAGGCGAAACGTAAGGATTACGCAGTAGCTTTATTAGAATTTCAGTCCCAAAGTGTGCCAATACTTTATATGGATGAAACCAATTTTAATCTCCATATTTCAAGAAGAGAAGGTCACTCTAAAAAAGGCACGAGTTTCACTAACAGTTGCGGCCGGATCCAGGGGAAATAACATCCATGTTATTGGATGTATTAGTAATAATGGATTAATTCATCATAAAATTAAAAGAGGTTCTTTCAAAAATGAGGATGCAAAAGAATGGACCAGAGAGTGCCTTAGTGAAATTTATGAAAGGGGAATTGTCTTAGTTATTGATAACGCTCCTTGCCATACTTCAATTGAAGAAGTTGTGGTGGAGAATGAATTTAGGCAACACCAAATTTTCAGACTTGCCCCCTATAGTCCGATGTTAAATCCCATTGAAAAGGTTTGATCAGTCATTAAAGTTGACGTAAAAAGTAGTATGGCAGACTCAATTGTTGGGATTTTAAGAGGTGATGGCCAGGGATCTTTAACTACTAAAGAATTCTGCCTCAGCAAGTTAGAAGCAATGATCTCTGAGGCAATTAATAATATTTCCCCTGAGACTTGCACTAACTTCATATCTGGAATACAGAGATTACTTCCCTCTGTAATTAACTTAGATGATGTAATCTTTTAAATAAATTTCTTAGAAACGTTTATATTTTTTATATCCCTTTTAAGTAAAAATAAAAGAATAAATATTAAATTTATTAGTATTATATTAATTCTCAATTTGAAGTTGATTAATCCATTTTGGAGTTGATTAATTTTTTTACCTGAAAATAAGTCCACTTTGAAGTTGATTATTATCATTTTGAAGTTGAAAAAGTATAGAATTAGGAAGCACCTTACAACTATAACAATTATTAACATATTTCCATAAATGCAAATGTACAAAAGAAAAAACGAAAACTAACCTCCTCTAGTAACTCAATGCACAAAAAATTACTTTATTCACTAAAAATTATGAAAATTTTACATGATATTGCAGAAATAAGGAATCAGTTTCTTTATGCTAATTGAATAAATGCATATAAAATATAGTTGTATCAACAAAATCTGAAAATACTTGGAAAAAAAAAAGACAATGAATCTTAAACAAGCAATAATTTTTGTAAATTTTATTCTGTGATTTGTGTCACATCTACAAGTGTCTACTTTTGTTTTACAGAAGATGAAGAAGATACCTTTTTCGCTATGATAATAGAGATTACTAGCACACACAAAATAGTTTTAATAATAATTAAAATCAATTTACATTAACAAGAACACAAAATTAACAGGATAATTTGGTGAGTTGATAAGTTCAGTATATGTAAAAAGGTGAAAAATTCAAAACTAAAAATTACCTTAATGGGAGGGAATTGTAGCAACATCTTTATTTTATCAAAAAAAATTTAAGATAATTTTAAAACTTTTACTGCTGGTTCTTGAGTTGCTTTAAGAGAATCAAACAAGCAATAAATTTTGAAAAATATATTTGACAATATAATCCCATGATGCATTTCAGAAACTAACAAACATTTTTGTCAAAGAATTCCTGCAAGTTTTCAATTTAACAACACCAAGAATTATAAAACACAAAAAGCACCCACTGAACTATGGTGTCCAGTGGAATTTTTAAATTGTCACAATCTATTTCTTTCAAAAGACTTCCATATTCTTGAAAATAAAAAAGTTGTATTATTAAATATTTCTTTTGCAGGACAATTTTTCTTGTAATGTAGCCTACTATATAAATAGTGACATTTCAATATCTTAAGAGATTTTAGTTTCAAAGTCTGGTAAGTTATTGAATATTTGGCATAACATGTCATCCAGCAAATATTCACATTTTGAGTAATTATGGCCTGGATCAAAGTTGTATTCTTTAACATCAACATTCAACTGAAGAAGTAATTTAGTTTGTTTTTTTTTTTCAATATGAAATCTCACAATAACATTTTGTACTGTTATAAAATATGCACCACCAGAACTTTGTTTTCATTTTCCAAACTTCCTCTGATAAACTCAAGTATGACAAAATGAAATTCACCGCTTAAAAAAAAATATCTACAGACATCAATTAAACAATTGAATATATGTTTAATAGCTAGTGTCTCTTGTAAATGATTTAACTCTTTTTTTTTTCCTTGATTTGCTTCCATTATTTTTGCCTTTTTACTTATTCCAAAATTAGAAAGAAATTTCATAAGTTTATCATCTAAATTTGATATCACTTTTTTTCAATGGATCATTGTTCTTCATATAACCATGATATCCTTTGATACTAACAATTTTCCAAAATTGCAACACTTTTTTAATGAAATGAACTGTTTCTGCAGTGTCAACTCAATTTAATAATGGGTGAGTTTGAAGTGCAGCTATAGTTTGATAAAAAAAATACTTTTAAACAATGTGAAACTTTTTGTCTCTCAACAGGTTTTGGGTAAACTGCTACATCAGTTTTAACAGTTTAGCAAATTGAGTTTTTTCATACTCAAAAAGACTTTTTAAACAATTTCCCATTTTGCTGTCATTATTTCACCTTCAAAGTAAAACATTAATTCAGAAAAAGCATCAATTATTTTGAATATTTTTAAATAATTTGATATAAACAAAAAGCAAATATAAGCTATTTTAGTTACCCAAGGCTTATTAGATACTGTCAAATTTTTTTAAAAAAGATTGATTTGTCCTTTTATCACATAATTGCAATTACTTGACCATTAAATTGGTTGATTGCAATAACAATATATGAAAGCTTTTCACATAAAAAATTGTATCTAATTTGGCAACAGGGATCATTTTAAGCAAAAATTTTGGACCACCATTTAAACATTTTACTATGATTCCCAATAAACTTCATCAACTAAAAGAATACACTTTTTCTGATTTTCAGAGATTTTATTAAATACATCACTAAGAAAATTTTAGTCTTCTAATTTTGAAACTTTTGATGCCAAAGCTAATAGTAATCTCACATTTAGTAACTTAAAATCAATCCAATGACTGAGATGTAACAAAATATTCAAATGCTCTGATAAGAATATCAGGATCAAAGTTTTGTCTGAGGTTTATGGTGATATAAATTTGATATGTTCTTTCAAAAAAAAATTTTATTATCAATTTTTAAGTTACTAATGAATTTCTTCAGTGTTGAAACATTAATATTCTTTTTTCTTTTTTTTGAAAGAAAAAAGTTTAATATATATATATATATATATATATATATATATATATATATATATATATATATAAATATAAAAAATAAAAACAGTAAAAAAGATTTACATCACTACACAAAAACTTTCATGTTTGAACTATAATGGTTCCTCTTCGGGTGATGGTAGATATAACTTGTGATAAAAATAAGATTTATTTAGAAAATTTGAAAACAAATCATTACATCTTTTGAAAGTTAAAAGTTTGGTGGGGGCGCTAGGATCAGAATTAAAAAATACATTTGTGGGCATGTCTGAATTTATATATATATATATATATATATATATATATATATATATAAACCTCAAGTTTTCAAAAATTTTAATTAAAAATATTAGAATACTTCCAGTGGGAAAAAAAATCAACAGACTGGATGAACAGCTGTTTGTTCGATTCATAGCATGTAACAACTGTCACGAAATCTTGTTGATCAATACTGTGATAAAAATTTTCAAAACTGATAATTTTGTCTTTTTCTAGAAATGCCAACTCATCATTTTGTACATTTCACACAGAAGCAGAAGTTTTACTTGTAGTTCTTGGATTTGGTTGGGGACTAGATGATGGCATTGATGACAAATTATTAAATGCTGATGATAGATTTTAGGTAGGTACCTCCACGAAATCGCTAAAAAAAGAGCATAGCTTGATGAAAAAGACGCCAACCTTGCTGAAAACAAAATTTTATTGTCTAATTGCTTATGTTATTATTAAGAGGAAAGACCAAAATTCTTTTTGATTATTTTTAAAAAATATTTCCTTTTTAGAACATTCTAAATTTTGATTAAAAAAAACCTTGTTTCTATTTGTATCAGAGGAACTAGTAAATAACATAGACAATTTTTAGCACGTTTTTTTGGTATGACACACATTAATTTGAAAAATCGTGCAAAAATAGAAATAGGAACTATTCACAGATGATCGAAATTATTATAAATATGTTTTTTTTTTTTATTAAAGTCATGGTAGAAATATTTTTTTAAAATATTTATTACCCCCCCCCCCCTAACTAATTTTATGAAAATGCTAGAAATTCGATTGCATCGGGTTTAGTGATTACAATAATTAAAAGCACAGGGCTTTGAGGAATGCAACTCATGTTTTTTTTTTTTTTGTTTTTAATTGGAGCCAACGTACCTGAAAATCAGCTCTGAATTGTAACACACAAAACTCAATAAAACAAAGATATTATTTAATTGCAAATGCTTTTATTTGCTTTTAGTTGTTTTTATGAATATGGACAATATTTTCTGAAAGCAAAAATATTTTTTCCATGAAAAATGAATTTTTAATACAATTATTTGTTATTTCTTTAATTATAATAGATTTTACATTTAAGTTGTTAAAATATTATAAAATTAGTTAAAAAACAGATCGGCTTTCCTAAGTGTCCTTATAAGATAGATCTTTTTTTTTACGCGTTGTAAATTGTATCATTTTGACTAATCAGAAGATCCACAGTAATTAAGAAATGTAATTTTGTGCTTATAACCGGCTGTAATTATATAGTACGGAAGACCAACCAGAATATAATTAAGTTGCGTTATTTGAGTTAAGCATTGTACTCCGCTGTTAAGGCCTTTACTTTTTACTTAAACGCGTGTGGAGAAGTTAATTTGATTTTTCAATTTCAACTGAGAACGGTACCTACAAGTATCAGTATCATCTTGTGAAATTTATATGATCTTATTTTTATATTAATCTCAGTTATGACATTTTTCCATAAATGAAATATCAAAATTAATAATAAAATGAATGCAAATACAAATAACAGTAAAATGTAATAAATGTACATAAAATTATAGTATTTTATGTACAGTTCTGATAAAATTTCATAAGAAATGTACCTATAAATTAATTAGATACATTTCTTAGGAAATATGAAATTTAATGTCACTCTTAACAGTCTTATTTTAATTTCTTTATAATATATTTTCCATAAAGCATCATAAATGTAAAGGTGAAAGCTAAGTACAAAAAAAAAAAATTAGACCGCTGAAAGTTTTCGTTAAAAATAACAAGGTAAATAATTTGTTCACTTAAATGTAAATTATTTCACTTTTCTCCTTCCGTAGAACAAATTAGCCTCCTGGAATTCGTAAATATGTCATTCATCACCTGTCAAGAGACGCGAAAGTTTATGACCTGCTTTGTTTTATTTTCAAATTACATCTTTTTGTCACAAAAGCTAAGCTAAGTTTGGTTCAAAATATTTTAAATAAACATTATAATTTCTGATTTTCTTAAAATAAGTTTTGAAAAAATGATAATTGATCATTAAAAGAATTTCAATGTGAGATTCCCAGTTTTTTTTTTTTTTAAATGGAAAAAAATGGTCAATTTTGATGACTCAAAAAAAACTAGATTTTTAACGAAAATTTCGGACGTGCTAGGAACGATTAAAAAATGGAAAAAAATACCCCAAAAATACTTTGATCTTTCTTCTTAATAATAACAAACATTTAGATGATAAAATTTTGTTTTCATCAAGTTTGGCGTCTTTTTCATCATGCTATACTCTTTTTTTAGCGATCTCATGGAGGTACCTAATTTTAGGGTTGTACTTTTCCTCTAATAACACTGTTTCATAGCCAGATGGAAAATGCCTTTCACAAACAATGTTCGATTTGTTGAGCATACTATTCTTGCTCTTTCTGATTTTAGAAAGACCAAATACATGAACCTTCTTTTTTCTGTGTTTTTTTTTTTCTTATAGTTACCATGCCAACATGTTACATATCATTTTGAGAAAGATTTTGGTATACTGAAATTAAACAATATTAACTATTATTTTGCAAAAATTCCTGGTTGATTCTAAAAATTGTATGAACCTTAGATTTTAAGGTCTGAACAATTTAGATTTGGAAATTTGATTCAAATTATTTTTTCATATTTCTGTAGATTAAGCACTTTAGACCATGTATATCAAAAAAAAAATTAAATTTTATAAAAATTAAGAGGATTCAGTTTATAATGTAAATTCATTATAAATTGACCCCCTGCTTGGGAATATGCTCAAACTACATAATTTCTTAAATTTAAAAATAAAACTGTAATTTGGAGTACATTTTCCTATATTCCTTTTGATTAAGCACTACAGATTGATACTTCAAAAAAAGAATTCACATGGTATGAACATATTTTGTTTTAGCTTCTCAAGGGGGGGGGGTTCAATTTACAATAAATTTACATAGCAAAGTGGAATCCCCACTAGTAACTTTTTAAAATTAAAAATTTACATATGGAATATATTATATTATTTATATATTATATGCGCAGTACTTATTGGAAAGCGCTCAATATCAGAGATAGAGCTAACATATTTAGTTCAGTCTATAAAGCAATCAATATCACCTCATTGTGTTTCCCACAATTGCCAATATCGTTGATGCATAATACTAAAAAGGTTCCTTAGAGGTGAATTGTTTAATGATTAATATTTCAACAATTGTTGGCTTCTTTGCAGTTTTAATAAGGAGACTGATTCTGTTTAAAATGACAAATGTTTATTTTTTTTTTTTTACATTTGAATTTCATAAATGCTTCTAAAAATTTATCTTTGATATTTTACTATATATATGGGGGGGGTCAATCAAAGTATCTTGCCAACTATTCTACCAACAAAAATTGTATCAAAAAATCTCATAATATCTAAACCCCATAAAATAATATTGAAAGCATTGGAATAAATTTAAATTTATGCTGCTAATTTTTTTATTTTTTTTTTTTAATTCTATACCAGGTGAATATTTGTAATTTTAAAATAGTTATAATCTTTAAAATAGTTGTATATATTTAGTTTGTCATTTTTTTTCTAATTTTAAATTAAGGCTGATGATGAAAAGGTGATAAGTGGATCTTATGATAAAACACTTAAAGTTTGGAATATTCGGACTGGAGAATGCACAATGAAACTCAGGCAAGTAAAGAATATCTTTTTATAAAGTTAAATTTGCATTTTGATACAGTTGGGTTTATTTTTTTTCGTTTTTTTCTAAGTGACATTTGTAAATTTGTTCATTAAATATTAAATTAAAAATATTGCAGAAATAATTTTTGTTTTAATTTTATTTGATAAATCATTTTAGGTTTTGATCAACATCAAATCTAAATATTAATTAAAATATTGACAAGTTTTTAAAATATTTTATGAAGTATTTTTTATAGAATTTAGTTTGAGAAACTTTTTATCTGACATATTTGTTCTTGCTATAAAAATTATGATCAATCTTTGTGTGTGTATGCACATATATTGAAATGCCAATAAAAATATAAGGCAGTATAATGTAAAACTGGATTCAGCCAGATTATATATATATATATTATATATAATTGTGGCAGCTGGCATGTGATGTAGACAGGATTTAACACTATTGAATGCAGAATGATTGGGACCAAAAAGATGGGTAGGGCACTCTATCTTAGTGTTGGCAACTGCTCTAAGTTTTTCTCGGGCAAAAGTATCAAGGATTTACTATATATATATATATATATATATATTCCAAACAGATATCTGTGGCATGGGAAAACTGCAAGTTTCCACAGGAGATGCAAGAATAGGACCACTGGTTATTGACAAAGATAATAACCACCCAACAAAAGGAGACATTGTACCACATCCTTGACCAACAAAGATGACCATTATTGACACAGCAGGATTGCTTACTGTAACTCACTGGCACCAGAGAACATCATGAAAGAGTGGTGCTTTATCACCTGGTCATATGAGTCACATTTCCAGCTCTTCTGAGTCACTTATGGCAGATAATGCATGAGGTAACCTTTTTAGCTCTGTTATGATATGTGTAGGGGATTCTACTGGAGCTTAAAAAGACTACTAGTTGTCTTAGCAGCAGTGGTGACAAGAGCAGGGGACAGCAAACACAAATGTGCCAGACCTCAAGAAAATAGCTGGAGGGAGGGGGGTTGGCTTCCTTACAAAAAGTAGAGAGCAAAATTACAAATTGGTATTTTATTGAAAAAAAAATACAAAGACAAAGCCAGTTCCAAAGCAGGTTAAAAGTGCATTTTTCAAACTTTCATTGAAGCAAGTTGCACAATGAGTGCTTCAAAGTCTAAGTATTGCCAAGTTGGTAAGGTGGTCTTGAAGCATTGTTGTGTGTTGATAGTTCTTTATTCGTTCTAAGTGATTAAAAGAGTGCTCTGCAGATGCAACTGTGGCTGGAATGACGCAGAAGATTTGGACAGAAATGAAAATATTAGGGAAAATTTCTGACAAACCCATTTATCCTGTTCAACAGTTCAGGATATTTATCATCGAATGTTTTTGCGACATTATGAATTTCTTCGCTTGACATATGATTGAATTTCTACAGAAATGAAAAGGTGGAGCACAAATTTCACAATGCTTCAAAATGATTTGTCAATCCACCGATCACTGAATCAGTGATAAGAAACATTAGTCTTATAATCGTGCATCATGTGTGATGCTATGTTGATTCTGATTGCCTGTGCCACCTGCTTACACTCTTTCCAAATGGCATCAAATTTACTCCTCACATCCATCATTTCTTCAATGAGCATATGAATTTGATTCAGTTGGACGTCAAGAGTAGATTGACGAGCTTGCATGATGAGATTCCTGAGCTCAGTTGAATGGAAAATTTTCGGCCATAGTGATACCATGAAAATACACTTAAAGGAAGTACAATACCAAGAGCATTGACATCACTCTGTGTCTTACTGGTCAAATGAAGAGCCAGAATTCAGGTCAAACCATCACAAATTTTATGTATCCGAGAAGCAAAAGGCTTCACACATTTGACACAGGCAGACCAACATGTTTCAGACATTCAATGTAGAGATGTGTCCATTTCACCTTGAAGAATATTCCATCGCTGCAGACTGCTACTGAATCTTGTAAACAACTTCTCAAGAGCATCAAAGAAAGTTATAGCATCAGGGCAACACTCTGCGCTGTTGACACCAAATTCAAAGTGTGACAACTGCAACTTGAGAATACTGCTTGGGCACTGATACATACGAGCGAGTAAAGCCTGACAACCTTTATATGCACCAGACATGTTCGTGCCATTGTCATATGCCTGTACTTGACAGTTATCGAAATCGAGACCAACGTGCTTCAGTGTTTCCAATATCCTCTCCTATCTTCTTATTACAGTCCACAAAATGCAAGAATCATTCCATGATTGTATACACTCTGTCTGCAAACTTGAAATATCGAACAAGAACTGTGGTTTGTTTGGTATGAGCTGCATCTGGCATTGCATCACAAATAATTCCAAAGTATTTTGAAGACTTGACATAATCAACGGTAACTTTCATCACCTTTTGTGCACAAATTTGAATGAACTCATTTTGGACATCTTTTGAAAAATAATGAGCAATCCTTCTCTTGCGAGCGTCTTGCAATGCCCTCACTTTTGACAGGTGAATGGCGAGTCAAATCATGTTTAACAAATCGATTAGTCTGAGGAAAAAATCCATTGTGAGGGTCACCAATATGTTTGCTGGTACCACAAAAAGCCAACCCAAATGTTTTGAACCTACATACCCCTGGGCAGAGGGAACTATTTTTAGATTGAACATGCTTTAACCAACTCAACTATGATCAAACAAGGCCTTAGTGCCTTTAAACAAAATCCTTCTCGTCATATATTCTCAAAATTTTCATATCTGCTCAGTTTTGTTTTCAAACACAAACAAAGCCATTTCTAAAGAAGTAATGGATTTTTTGTATTTATTAATTCCGACAGATGTTTAAAGCTATAAAATGTATATCTTGTTCAGACTATTTGCACTCTTGCAAATAGAAAAAGTTTGCCATCTTTCCTAGTGGTCATGTTACGTTCATGATTGCCTCATTGTGTACAGATAACACAAAATTGGTTCCAAAAAAACTCAGCTGACCTCACAGTCCCTGTACTTCCATGATTTACACTCTATTAAGTACTAGCAGTAGAGCCCGGCATTGCCTGGGGATATAACAGTAAGAGATAGATCTAGTATCCACCATCATAAAGACTGAAAAATAAAATTGACAAAGATTATTGTTTAAGGTTGATGGACACGCATGTCTTAATTATTTTTTTTTTTATTTTTTTTACAAATTGGTCAAACCCAAACAAAAACATTGTTTTCAATCATTATGAGTCTCTACCAATTGCATAGAATTTTATTATAAACAATTGTCTTGTAAATGGAATTTTTAAAGCATTCTGAATGTAAAAATAAAGAAAAAAAGTGTGCAAGACAATAAGAACACTACATGCCAAAAAAAAAAAAGTGAAGTTTTGTTGAAATCGGTTGAAAAATGTAGGTAGCCTTTCTGTAATCTTTTAGTTTTACAATTTATGATTTTTACTTATTGAATACAGTAAAAAAAATTGCATATTTTGCTTGTGGTGATTCATAATTAGAATTCTGATTTGAATATAGTTTCCACTCGTTGTTTCTAATACAAAAAATATTAACTTTATTTGGGTTTATTAATTATGATCTAACAAATCTTATTCATTTAGTAGCCTTTCTGTAATAATAATCTTTTACAATTTATTATTTTTACTTATTGAATACAGTAAAAAAAATTGGACACCATGTGTATTTAAAGTAGTTTCCTGTTATTATTTTTAGTTAGGACTTGTGTATGTTTAGATTTCATTATCTTTCCCTAAAGATAAAGAATTTATCCGATGTTTGTATTCGTACAATCAGTAGAGATCGTTAGATTATTGTTTAAGGTTGACGGACATGCATGTCTTAATTAGTTTGGTTTTTTTTTTTGTTGTTTTTTTTATGAATTGGTCAAACCCAAACTCAAACAAAAACATTGTTTTCAATCGTTATGAGTCTCCCGATTGAATAGAATTTTATTATAAATAATTGTCTTGTAAATGGAATTTTAAAAACATTTTGAATATTAAAAATAAAGAAAAAAGTGTGCAAAAGAATAAGAAACACTACTTGCCAAAAAAAAAAAGTGAATTTTTGTTTTATCAGCTGAAAAATATAGGAAATCCGATCCCATATTTAAAGGAACCCACACACACAAACAACCTGATGTGAGTTGTCCCCCTTCCATTTTCACGATGTCTCTTAATCGTGTTTTCAAATTGATTTTGTGCAAAAACAATTATGCTTTTCTCAGTACATTTTATGATCTTTGAGGGACAAAAAACAAGTTACTGCATTTTCATTAATGGTGGATGAGAGCATCTTAAGTATAGTGATGCTAAAAAAAAGGCAATGTAAAAATACTAGGCTACAAAGCAAAAAATTCACCATTCCATTCCTTAAGTTAAAAAAGAAATTTTTTTACAGAAAGTGATTATTATTACAGAAAGTACGAAACATCAAAGTATGGAGTTAGTAATTAGTGTTGATGCCTTTGGCTTGATTAATTACCTCATTTTGATGTGGTAATAAATGGAAAATGGTCCTGATATTCTCATTGGGAATTTTATCCCATTTTTCTTAGCAGCAATCCCAAAGCTATTGAAGATTTCCTGGCTTTTGTTGGAGCACATGTTTCTTCAGTTCTTGTTGCATGTGATGTGTGGCAAGTAATGTCATCACCCTGAAATATTTCTCCATTTTCATAGTCTGTCAGATTATATCTTTCTCCCACTGTTCACTTTATATATTCTTTTACATTAGAATATAACTCTATTTTGCATTCATCTTACTTATTATAAAACGCAGATTGTGTGTGCGTGTCTGTATGTTTATATATTGAATCGGATTTCCTACATTTTTCAACCGATTTCAACAAAACTTCACTGGACTGCGTAAAATTACCTTGCGGTGGTTCTGGCAGCGCCAAAAATTGGAAAAACACAATTGTTTTTGCACAAAATCAATTTGAAAACACGAGTTATACTTATAAAACCCAGGTTGTTTTTGTGTGTGTTTTCGTTTATATATGGGATAGGATTTCCTACATTTTTCAACCGATTTCAACAAAACTTCACTTTTTTTTTGGCAGGTAGTGCTTCTTATTGTCTTGCACACTTTTTTCTTTATTTTTACATTCAGAATGCTTTAAAAATTCCATTTACAAGACAATTGTTTATAATAAAATTCTATTCAATCGATAGAATCATAACGATTGAAAACAATGTTTTTGTTTGGGTTTGACCAATTTGTAAAAAAAAAAAAAAAAAAAAACTAATTAAGCCATGCATGTCCGTCAATAATCTTTGTCAATTTTATTTTTCAGTCTTTATGATGGTCAATACTTGATCTATCTCTTACTGTTACATCCCCGGGCAATGCCGGGTTTTACTGCTAGTCACTAATAAATTACTTCTTGCCACTTTCCAGCATCCCATTTTAGAGGTTCCTTTGACCACTTCAATCTTCTATTCTGATATTTTTGGTTAAGTTTTGGTTAAGGACGTTTTTTTTTTTTTTTTTTTTTTTTTTTTTTGGTTTTGGTTTTTTTTTTCTTCTTCTTTTGCTGCTATGCACATGTTCAAGTTGTTTTTTCATAATATTCTGCATACTGTATGAACCGAAACCTCACTGTTATGACTGCATTCACCTCTTGTCTAACTTTTGTGGTCTTCTGGTTTTCTTTACACTTAAAACACTTTCAGTAGTAGTCAATATCTTTTGGTTGGTTTGAACATTGTTTTTTTTTTTTTTTACCTGGTTATCTCTCATCAAGTCATCTTCCCCTTCAAAGTCACAATATTCATCTTCTGGCTTTAGTGTTAAAAAAAGAAAGAAGCAAACTAATGTTCAACTGCAATGACTTGCCAACACACCATACACTCATGTTAATAAGATGAAACAATTTCTACTTAGAAATTTGCACATTATCATGACTTTATCATCTCAGATATTTCATTGACCAATAGTTTTGCATGGCCCTTTTTCAACTTTAAGCAGTGTACTTTCTGTTACACAGTACCCACAAAAAGGCAACAACATATTTTCCAATTGTCATGGTTCACAGATGTCACTGATAAAAAGCATATTGTTAAACAATCTTAACTTAATAAAATAAAGGTGTATAATCACTGTATATAGTTGGGCCTCAAACCTTTGCACACCAGTGTATATATAATTAAACAATATGATGAAAAACCCTTTGCACACAAAAATCTATTTACAAGTGATTTCCAACACACAGTATTCCTTTATAAAATCTTCATTCATTTAGTATTTATCATTTGGTTGTAAGTTTTGAATAATTGGCCTCTTTGAGGAATAAAATATATTTCCTGAATTTTATCAGTAGTCAGCATTATCCAGTTTTTTTGGGGGTTTTTTTTTGCACCTTTTTCTTTTTTTTTCTTTTCAGATTTCTTATTCTACAACACCTGTCATAGGCAGGTCATTGTTTTAGGTACAAATTGCTAAATTAGCTCACCTACACTTTCTAAAATTGAATTTACTCAATTAAAATGTCTTACTTATAACACTAAAAATGGTTTCTAACTTTCTGCTACTCTCTAATCAGAAGCACAGAATTATCTCTTGTATATCCCAAGTGATAATAGTCTTTGTTTCTTTCAGGGGCCATTTGGCTGCAGTCTTGTGTGTCCGTTTCAGTGATACCAAGATTGTATCAGGCTCCTGTGATAAAACCATCAAAGTAAGTAGTTCTTATTTGATTTTAGTCATTTTACTTTAATAATAATGTAGCCTTTAAATTTTCTTTGTATTTTTTATTCTTTTATGTATTTCCTATGTTAGATTATGATAACATTCCAACTGAAAAGTTGTCTTTTCAATAAAAAAAAGTTTTGTATTGTGATGTAAATTTGCATGTCCCTCATCTTTATATTTTGCAAATACATAACAAAATCTTGATTTATCGATTGATAAACTATGGAAATTATGATCAGTTAAAAATTCACGACTTATAAAAAAATCAAATTTTCTCTTCCAGGAAATTGACAAATAAATTATTTATTACAAACAAAATTAGCAGAAAGTTTTAAACATATGCAACAATAAATATAGAATAAAAATAATTGTATATCTTCTGACACTGAATTTATTAAATTTTTAACCATTTTCAAGGTCTGGAACTTTGATGGTACGTGTATGATGACCTTGACAGGCCACCAAAATGCAGTCACATGTCTACAATTTGATTCAACTCGAATTGTAAGTGGATCATTAGACTGCAACCTTAAATTTTGGGACATCCACACAGGAGAGTGTATTAACACAATTGACTGGAAAGCGGCTGAAGGACACACAGGAGTTGTCAGGTACCCAACATTTTCTCTTAGTTTCTGTGTGTATTTCTAACATTTATATAATAAGATTTGTTATGGAGGGTATTTCTCTCCTTTTATTTCCTTTTGATTTTTATAAATACAGGTCTTGATGGCTAATTTGTAATGAAAGGTCATGAAAGGAATGATCAAAAAATACAACAATTTTTTGGTTAATATACCTCACTTTATTTGCTTTATTTATAGAGAGAATGGACAAAGAAAGAAAGAGGTTGAAGAAGAGACCAGATTTCCTTATTTCAAATTATCACCTCCAATGATGTGGTTGTAGTACAGTTTACCCAACCACACTTCAATAAACAAATTCCCTGCAAATTATTAATTAAAAAAAAGTATGAGTTAATCCTTACTGGTCATTTTATGTTCCTTAGACAAAGCCACATCAACATGATGTGTACTTATTTAGCTATGTGACTTGATATTCAGTCAAGTTATATCACTGAATAAAAGAGATGTATTCTTTGATCTCACCAAATATAACTATATTTGGCAAATATACTATATCTATCCCTTCAGATAATTAATATGTATGCCGTGATTATCTGGAGCACAGCAAGTTCTCTGATTCTCTTTATATGTTTAATTGAAATTATATCGTGTAGTCATTTCATATCCATTTTACTGGAGAGTTAACAAACATTAGTTTTAAGACAAAAAAGAAACTAACTCCAATCTTTACTCATTTTTTCCTTTTAAATCTTTTAAAAGAACTTTGTATCTTATAAGCTAATCTTTTCATCAGGAAGTTGTTTTGTGATGGGCCATTAGCTCTAGCCCCTTCTGAACAACTCAATATATGAAAATAATAATCAGAGTGCACATAATTCTTTCTTCTTTTATATTTTGTGTCCCTTCAAGATGTAAGTGATCATGGGCCTCCACATCTTCCTGTCTCTTGTAGCTCTTAATAAATTTTGTCTTTTTGTTATTTCACCCAAACTCTGTTCTACCATCCATTTACTAAAGTTCATCAAGTTTGTTTCACACCTTCTTTTTTCTGTCCCTCTTCCTCTCAATCTGTCCTGTGAGTATCAGGTTTTCCAAGCCCTCCTTCCTCATTGCATACCTCAGAAATTTCAACTGCCTCTTGTTAAGTGTGTTTCCTTTTTGTTTCCATTTTCTCCAAAACCTCATTGTTGCTCACATGTTCAGTTCATAGTATCCTCAGCATCTTTCTGTAAAACCACATTTCTGTTGCTTCAAGTCTCTTTCTCGTCTTTGAGGAGATTGTCAAGCGTATGATTACAGTTCACAAAAAAATAATACTGCTTTTGGTAAAAGATGATAGCAAAAGAACGTGAATAATGATAGTCTATTTTCTCTTACTCCTCCTCTTCTTAATGGCTTTGAAGTTTCTGTAATTTTTAAAAGTTTATAAAAATAAATTCATGTATCAGACAAGAGTTCATTTGTCTTTCAAAGCCTATTTTCAGACTTTCTTGTATTGGAGATAAATATCAATTACAATGAATTTAACTAGTCATTAAATTTGGTTCCATCATTTATAACAAGTTTTGGAAATTTAAATACAAGTGCTTTTAACATGACTCCTTACTGTGAATGTCAATTTATGATTGAAAACAAAAAGATTTTCCACCGTTATTCTGTTATGCTACTTGATTTAGACAAGAGAAAAAGTTTTGCTTGTTTGATGCGTCTCTCTGTATTTCACTCTTTTCTTTCTCAACAACTGATTGAACTTACTTGCTTTTTATTGCAACGATCAGATCATCATTCTGTGGCTGTTAATTAGCAGTGCAAATTGGAAAATAAGAAATTAGCCTCTGACAAACTTTAAACTGACACTTGTCTATCTTGGGTAGACTGAATGCCCTCATAGCCTAATTGCCGTGGCAACTGTGATAGACAAACTGGCTTCTCAAAGGAAAAAGATATAAATTCAAACGTCATTGATGATATGCTTTTATTTTATGGTCTGCACTGCCAAGTAATTTTACTTAAAAGTGATTAATAATAATTCATTGATCTTTTTAAAAGACGATATTGTTAGGAAAAAGTAGTAAGAAAATGTTCACTTTCTCAGGATAATTATATGGCAATTTAAGTCCAATCACTTCTGAAAAGCCAAATGAATAGAATCTCTTAACAAACCAAAAAAAAACTTACTTTTACATTTGCTCTGAATATATGTAAATTGTGACCATGTGGATTGACATGTATAAAAATAATTATAATTTTGTTTTCAGGTGTCTACAAGCTGATTCCTGGAGAGTAGTAAGTGCTGCTGATGACAAGACAATCAAAGTATGGAACTCGTTTCACTCTGTTTTAATGTATTTTTTAATGTTTTTTTTTTTTCAATCGCTCATTCTTTTGATTTTTCTTCTTTTTTTTCTATCTGCTTCTTAAAATCTGTTTTCTTTCTTATTCTCTCTGTCCACTTCATTTTTGAAAACTCTTCATTTTACTTCTTTTTACTCTGTACTTTGATGTTTGTTTTTGCAAATCCTTAAGTTTTGAAGTGACTGCAGAATAATTATTGGCAGTTCTGCTTTTGCATTCATACAGAATCATTTTTGAAATGCACTAACATTATAGCATAATCTAAAAGTACACAAGTTCTTTGTTTTCATGTCAATGAATTTGTGAAACTGTTCAAATAATATCTATCTTTTGATCTTTTTAGATCTCACATTTTAACAGGATTTCTAATCTACTCATCACACTCTTGGGTGGAAAGCACGTGCCACATTTCAGTTCAATTTATCCAGTAGTTTTCTTGCATATATGCATGTGAATTCTTCTTTGAGAGTGTATGTAATGTATAAACAAAAGGCTTATAAAATATTCCAAAATAGAACAATAGCCCTTCTTGACAAACCCAATGAATCAAAAAAAATATATTGTTCTACCAACTATCACAACTACAATTGAAATGAACTTATCTAAATTCAGTATAACATTTGTTACTATTACATCAAAAGCAATAAAAGAACATGTCAACAATAATCAAAACAATAAACAAAAACTTGAAGGAGGAAGTTACTTGATTGCTTGTAATAATTGTTAGAAGAAATACATAGGAGAAACCTCAAGGAATTTAAATAAAAGATTATATGATCACAAAATGGACATTTTACAAAACAATATATTAAATGCATTAGATAAAAAATGCTACTCTGATCAAAGGAGAAAACAATTCACTTAAGACTAAAATGTTTAAAGAGTGCCTTTATCGCAAGTTCATCTACAGTAAATTTGTGTCCTGGCTCTTACATTTCACTATACCTGGCAGATCTTCTATTGTCACAATGTGGGATATCTAATAACAAAAGTGATGGAAACGAAAAGAATTTAAATTAAATCAGCAAGATATTATAGCAAAAATTTTAATTTTAAATTCCTAGCATCCCTCGTTTGTGTGCATGTGTAGTCACACCAATGTAACAAATTTAGTCTGAACTCCTAAAGGATGAAACAAATGGAAACTTTTTCTGATTTTCATCATACATTTTTCCCACAACATTGTTCTTGCTATAAAAAAAAAAAACTTGTATATCATTTATTTATTTATTTATATATATATATATATATATATATTTTGAACAATAAAAAAATATTAAAAAATTAAAATCTTCAGACACACTGGGTTGTATATTAATATTCCTTCATTTTTATTATTATTTCATTTAGATTCCTCAACTAGTTTCGGCCAACATGGCCATCATCAGGAGAAAAATAATTTTCTGCTTGCTGGTAGCAGTGAACTACAATAATGAATGTCTTGATGGAGAAAATGAACTTTTGTCTGTAGTTTTCATTTATTTTTTAACATGAATTTTGGTCAGTCTTTGTGTTGGTCAAACAGTCTCTTTTAAGTTGTTATTTGAGATAAGAGCTGGATGGATTCATGCTGCTCTGAATTCCCTTGGTGATTTTGACAGTTTTATTGGTTCCTGGAAAGGGGATGTGTCTCTGTTAAGTGTGTGTGTGTTATTTGGTTCTTAGGGAGTATGATGTGTGTAAGCATGTATATTACTATGGGTGTGTGTTATCATTTGGCTCATTAAGGAGTGAGTGAGTATGATGTGTGTAAGTGTGTATATTCGTGTGGGTGTGTATAAGTGTGAGGCCTCAGCATCTCCGTAAGCATGTCTCTTGTGTGGGTGAGAAATGTGGGTAGGTTTTGATTTGTAGGGTTATATATTAATACTATCTATATTGTTAAATGTATGGTTAAGCCCGGCTGGATAGTGCATTTTTAAATGTTGTATCCACTTATTTTCATGGAACTCTAAAATCTTTCTAATGTTATTTGCTCTGGACTTTTCTATTCTCTCAATTATAGTGAATTTGACATGGGTTTTAAAATCATGTTTTTCTAGACGGAAATGTTGTTCTACAGGTAATAGTCTTTCATGGGGAGTCGACTTAATTCGATTGCGATAATTATTAATTCTGTAATGAAAGGGCCATTCAGATTTTCCTATATATTGTTTCTGGCATAGTGGGCATTCTAGGAGGTAAATTATGTTATGACTTCTACAGTTAGTCGTTGTAGATTTTGAAAGTAGATTTAGTGATTGAGCTAGTGAATGAATTTGTGTGTTTAATGTGGTTGCAGCATAAGCTTCTTTTGTTGTTACATGGTTGGAAAAATCCTGTTGTTTTTGTTGTTGGTAAATTACAGATTACCTTGTCTCCTGAAATGTGGTTACTATCTATGATTTCTTTTAGGTTCTTAGGTCTACAATATGCGAGAAGGCCAGGTTCCTCAAACAATTTTTTTAGGTCTGGTTTGAGATGTAGTATTTCCCAGCAACTTTTGATTATTTGGGACAGTGGAGGCAGTGTAGGGTTGAAAGTGGTTACTAGAGGGATGCAGCTGGGTTTATTTTTAATCTTGTACATTAGGGTGTCTTCTCTAGGTGTGGAAATTGCTTTATTTGTTCCCTGATTGGGTGTTGTTGTGAATTGATACTCCAGATTTTCAATGTGTTTATTTAGTTCTTCATTGTTAGAACATATCCTTCTAAGTGCTTGTGAATAGGGAAGGTTCTCTTTGAGATATATATATATATATATCTATATCTAAAGAACAGTTTTGGAGGAAAGATGTATGACAAAATGGAATAAGTTTTCATGTGATACGTTTCCTCCCTTAGGACTTGATCAGACTAGGTTTGTTTACATTGATATGACTACACATGCATGAACAAGAGACACTGGGAATTTTAAATTTTTAAAATTAATTTAAAAAATTTTTATATTTTTTTTTTTTTATATATGAACAAGTTCTATTAATTTTTTTTATTAAATCTTACAAATTTACAAATAAGTTTTGTGTTATTGGTAAATTTGCCAAAATGCATATTAACTTTTATTTATTTTTTTTTTCCCCTGAGTACTTTCAAATTTTTATGTGTGTGTTTGTTTTATTAAACATAATTCAATATACAGTGTGTGTTTAATATAAAAAACATACACACACTGTTTTAACCATTTATATGACATCACCTGGAGTGACTTGAAATTGGTTCCATCAAACATTAAAACACCAGAATTAAAAACCAGTTGCACACACACACACACACACACACACACACACACACACACACACACACAACAATCTTTGGAAACTAATTAATGTAGCAACTTTCAAAAGTAGTTGGGGGTGGGTAAAAATAATAGAATTTAAAATAAATAAAATTGATTGGTAATCAATTTTCTATGCCTGTTATACACAGCTTTTCCAAATTGAACTTAATACACCCCTCCCTCATGAAAATAAAATCAAACAAGGAATATAATTGGAAACCTTGAATATTTACTTCTCAAAACTAATTTTACTCCAAATCACCAGTTTTGAAGTTCAATTCTTTATCTAGACATTGAATTTTATCATTCTCTTTAACTTTCTTCAGTCTAAATGGATAGAAGCTATTAATTACAAAAGATTTCACTTTTTAATTGAATTTTATAATTTTTAATTTTTAAGGTTTGGAACTTGGAGACAGGAAAACGCCTGATCACCCTACGGAACCACTCGGATGGTGTGACCTGTTTACAGTTTAATGATCTCATCATCGTATCTGGCTCCTATGACAAAACTGTGAAACTTTGGGATTTCAGTTGCTGTTGATAAATCAAAAGATTGAGGAGATCAATTACTGACCATTTCTTCTCCTGAAGTGGTGAAGAGATTCCTCGGTCTGTACCATTCAACCATAATTAGATCTACTTAATCAGCTCCTGCTACAGACAAGGTTAAAATTGTAGAATGTCTAAAGATCAATGTTCAGATTTTATTAGGCCAGAGTTTTAGTTTGCTAATGTTTTAACTTTGTACTCTCTCTACTTTTTGAAGACTTTAAAATGAAACACATGCTGACAAATTATTTATATTTGAAAAATTTTACCAAATGTATGAGCTCAATCAATTTACTTGTAACATTTAATAGGCTTTGTTAGCTATTGTCATTTGGATCCTTATTAATGGAGAAATGAATTTGTTAAAACATTAGGCTAAAAAGCAAAAGAGGCAGGCCTGTTTTTAAAATCTGTTCATTTAGGAGGAATTTTGTATAATCTCTTGGGATAAACCCAACTTTAGCACTAAGAGGCAAAATTTGGTTTTCTGTTGAAATTCATGACTTCATATTTCCTGTAATTGTTTTGTTTTTTGTTATGTAGATTTTTTTCTGATCTTGGCTGCAAATTGTCTTTGTTTTTGTGCATAAATATCCACAACCATCTGCAAAATTAAGAGAAATGTTTTCTCTCCCTTTTTAAAATTTTAGTCATGCTTTGTAAACTTACAAAACACATGCACATACAATATTGATTTAACTACAATGTAAACAAACTATACAAGGTGTATGCATAATATAAATATATATATATATATATATATAAAATATAGTTTTAAGGTATTTCATATTTATGGGTTAAAGTGCTCAATATCAGGGATAGAGCATATATAAATACAAAAGTGGACATTGAAGTCAACACCAAGAGGTGACAGTTTTATTTTATGCTAAACATAATTGCCTGACAATTGCTCTTAGCATGAAACAGACTGCTGCTTCTGGGTGTTGACTTCAATGTCCACTTCTATATTTATATATATATATATATATATATATATATATATATACACACACACACACTGTTTGTTTTTACTATTCTTCGTATTATTAGCTATAATAAACTTTTAGATTATGTAAACTCATAGTTGTCCATATAAGTACAAGTATACCTAAATGCATATATACTCCTCCAAACATACATACACTTATACATATAGCTATGGAATCACGCTAACAACATATGTCCCATTTTGAAACTAAATTGCTATTATTAAAAAATTGTCATATGCATCAAAATGAATTAAATAATTGTATATCTTCCTGAAGATATCAAAATATAGATTTGCATGAACTAATCAGTTACAAATATAAAAGTTTAATTAAATGGCTTGCATTTGGGCTTCAATGGATATGCTGAGTTTATGAGTACTTTCCATCCACTGTGGGGAATGTTGCTGATTCAAACCTAAATATGCAATGTTGCTTGCTTCTCTTGAATTTGTATTTTCATTTTAAAAATCTTGAAAAAATTTAGCAAATTTCTCATTATCTCTATAGATTAGTTTTCTTGCCCAACATACATTTTTTTTTTTTTTTTTAATAACATCAAGATTACTCTCTCCACACACACACACACACACACACACACACACACCATTATTACTATTTTTTATTTTTTTAAGTTATCTTTGTATTTTGTTTAACCATTCTATATATGGATGTCTGTCTAAACTGTCACTGGACATTTGTTTAAAATCATAATTGATATTTATAAAAAGCAAGAGGATTTATTCATCAGAAAATGTCTTCACATTGAATCGGTTAAAATGTAAACTAACTTGGACTATATCAGTATGTAATAATATCTTGCGATGGTTCATGTAGATAGTATTGGATTGTTAAAACTGGTGTGCAAAGTGCATACATATTCAGTAATTTTTGCTCATGAAATACACTTTTAGCTATAAACAAATGCACTACTAATGTAGAAAATTAGTAATTTTACTATCTTAGTGGAAATTTTGCTGCTTGAGAAAATATTAATTCTTTATGTGTGTAGATTGGAAAGAGTGATTGTGGTGACTGTTGGCTTCCTTCAGACAATCTATATGCAAAACTTACTTCCTAAGTACAAACCCCAAGAAATCAACATGTTTATGCAATGCCACATTTTTATCTTCTTTCACACAATAAGACAATTTTGTTATATTTATGTAATTGCAAAAAGGCAAATATTTGGTGCTAAATGATCCAGATCCATGTAAATCTGCTTGAAAGAAAAATATTACTGTATATTTCTGCATATAAGACGACCTTTAAATCCCCAAAATCACCCTTAAAAATTAGGAGTTGTCTGATACTACAATTCTAAAAAAGAAACCTTAAATTCTAAGTGATTTTTGTCAGTAGGCTAACCTCAGCCTCAGTGCAATAACCAATAACTTGCAGAAAAAGATTCACATTATTAAATGAACTGATAATAAAAGTAATAAAACTATTTCTGCCTTATATTTTTTCTGGCATAACTTTATAATAAATTATCTATTCAAAGAATAATTCCATATCAATGAAATCAACTTGTATCTATGCAAGCTCAGCTGAGAAAATGCAAACATTGAGTTATGATTGCATTCACAGCAACCTTTGTCTTTTGCTAAATTTTCAATAATGAATAAAAGACTGAATAAAAAAAAATGTTGAAAGTGGAATGTACTAATTGTACTGTTATTAGTGGTATTTTGTGATTGTCGATGAAGTATAAGTAAATGGTCATTAATACACCAGGCTGTTTATAACTGTTTAGATATTAGAAAAGAGGAAGAAGAAAAATCAGTATTCAGAAGAGATCATGTGATGAAATATAAAAACAATGGTTTCCCTTTTAGGGGACATGTGTAGGAAAAATCTGATATAGAATCTCTTTTGTTATTTCGTTTATTTTGAATTTCTAAGGATACAGTAAGTAACAACATTTCCAATAAAATCATCTCTATGCAACCAATAAGCAGTTGTCTTATACTACAGGTATAGGATTAATTCATGAAAATTTGCTATACTTTTTTAACCTCATCTTATCTAAAGGTTGCCTTATACACGGAAATATACGGTATTTGTTTTATCTAGAAAATCCAGTTGAGGTTTGTGCTTTCCTTGGATTTATGCTTAAAAAAAGAATTTTATGTACATCTGGATAAATTAACTGGTGATCAACAGGGGAAACACTGATCTGTTCTAAAACTGAAATACGAGAGTGAGAAAGACACAACATAAGCAAATGATGAATTGATTAAAAATTACAAGTTAACGTAATTTCTATTTGATTGTTCCTATGTATGGCTGCATAGAATATACAGTGACATATAAGCTATTTAGTAAACTAAATGGAATTATCACTTTCTACAAATGATGGAATTCAAATGAATGTTTACGGCAACAGTGTTGATCTCTATTATTGATAATTAAAAGCTGTTCAGTAAATTTTAACATTTATCTTTTTTGCTGGTCTGCTATGTTGATTGACCAATTTATTTTATTTGTCCAGTGCTTAAATTACATTGCTAGAAGCATTTTGTGTAATTTTCTCAAGTACACATAAAATTTTATTTCCACAGCAAAACAAACTTATAAGCCCAAAAATAGCAATGAAAAGTGAATTATTGTTGTCTTCTGTCTGGATTTCATGTGCAGCAGTGTCAAAACAAGAAAAGATGCTGCCATTCATTCCACTGTTCCCTTAAAGGTTATGCTAACAGTTACCATTTTTTTTTTTTTTTTACTACATCAAATATGTTATTAAATCAACACTTTTAAATAATATTAGTACATTTTAATAGCATGCCTAATTTTAAAAAAATAGTACCAGGCTATTTTGCAATATGGTGGCATTTAAAATTTCTGCTCATATTCTCTCAGATTTTTTTTTCTACTTTTTTTTATGCATGCCATGTCTGTGCAAGTTACTGATGCACATACCATTATTCCCCCACCCTTCCATGATTCTCTGGTTGTGTCCAATGTATAATAAAATTGCAAGTGTTTATTTTATAAACTTGACTTTTCTCTTTTATTTTCTCAAATTTTTCATTATCATTAAAATATATTTTTTTATTAAAGAATTTTTCAATATTAGATGATTATTTTAACAATAGGCAACCATACTTCTTGCTTAACTAAGATTTTATTAACCGACTGCAGAAAATTATTTGTTTAGGGACTGAAAAACAATATTAAACATTGACCTTTTTAAAATTTTCAATTTTAATCAAAACCTAATTCAATACAAGACTGTCATTTCCAAAAAAGTAAGGTGGGATTACAAATGAAGATTTTCTGACTGATATTGTTGTTGCAGGTATTATCCTTTTCTGAACTAAAACTTGTAAAGGTAAATCCCTAAACAACATTCAAACAAAGGCACATGTTTAAGTGGCATGGGAATAACAATTGTCAGCCACTCCCATTAATCCCAGTAGTTGTAAAAAGCAGATTTGGAGAGAGAGAGAGAGAAAGGCAAGTTATGTGAAACTGGATACAACCAGTACGACTGAACCATTTTGTGTGACATACATAGAAAACGATTTATAACAAATAATAAGGAAGAAATGTACACATGTATTTGGTATATGTTTATACTTGAAATGTGCAATTGTATGAGTCATTTTTGGATAATGAAATGTGTCCTGGTTGAGAGAGATTAATTTTAGATGTTAACACATGCATCGATCTACAACGATGAACTGATGAGAAAAGAGACAATCTTCATTACCAATGTCCGGAGGAAGAAAAAAATGAAAATGGGGGTCGCTATTCCTTTTTTTTTTTTTTTTTTTTTCTTTTTTTTTAATACATTCTGATAGTAAATCATTTATCAAACTGTTTTAACCTTTATTTCTCAATAGTAAAATGAAAACAAATCAATATTTTGATATTATAATACTATCATGCCCACCAATTACAGGACTATTTTAAGCAGCAGGTATAAACCTCCAACCAACTTAAGAATTGTAGAATTTACCCCTAAAAATTTTTTTTTTTTTTTTTTTAGGAAAATGCT